TGCTGAATGAAGCCGAGACAAGCCAGCGGGTGAGCGACCCCCCAGGGTCGCTCATGGATTGGAATGGGGAAACTGGCCTGCAGTACGAGCCCAGGGCAGCTGGAAAACCCCGGCTTCTTCCTTCGAGTGCTCTTCCTCCTCCTCTTCTGCAGGCATGGTAAGGAACTGCACGGGCAGGGCCATATCCCTGGCAAGGATCCTCATGGGACACGCAAGGGAGGGCACAACCATGGCAGAGCCCCCAGGAGGTGACCGGAGCGAGCAGAAGAGCCTCATGCCACAGCCACAAGGCTCAGGTGGAATCAGCATGCCCGTGGCCCTCGGCAGCAGAGGGAAGGGCAGGCAGCATTCCCACCGGCATCACCCCCCGGGCTAGCCTCAGCAAGGAGAGCATCCCCTGCTCTCCCGCAGCAGGCGCCTTCCCTGGGAGAGCCCTTAAAAGTGCTGTTCCTCTCCCAAAATAAGACAGGGACAGCAGGGCAAAGTCTGCCAGCAAAAGGCACCAGCCATCTCCACCACCCAGCCCCTCACTTGCCTTCCCACAGCCCAGAAACCCTTCTAGGAGGGCTCAGGCTTGCAGCACCCAAATTCACTTCCCAGACCCCAGCATGCCACCACCCCCTCACAAGGGCAGCCGTCCCTTATAACCCCTCTGCTTAATGAGCTAAATGACCCCTGCTGGGGCGAGCTCGTTAGCTCTCCCAGCGCTCTGGCCCATGGCACTGCTTTCCTGCAGCACAGGGAAATCCCGTTTGAGGGGCAGGGTGTCCTGGGGGCAGTCAAGCCTCTTGCAAAAGAGCGATTGCACGGCCCGGCCGAGGTTGAAATGGGAAGAAGGGGTTTCCCAGCTCAGAAATTCCCGTTTGTCCCCTGGCAAGCCCTGGGGCGAAGAATCTCGGTCTGAGCCACGTCCCAGGGCCACGGCCACAACTGCTGCCCTGGCTCTTGGCCACGCTCGTGCCCCAGGTACAATCTCACATCCCAGTTGCTTCAGGACACCCCTTTGGCCCCACAACTGCCGAGGGGGGGGCTGTTTCTGCAGCAGGCACCCCCGGATTCCTGACCCTCAGGCACGTAAGCAGCAGGTCCTTTCAACAAAACGCCGCGTTCGTTAAGACAGGGAGCGAAGTGCTTCCAGAAAGCATCTCCATCATGGGATCTGGAGTGGGCCAGATGGTGGGAGGTGGCGGGAGGAGAAGGGGCTGCCCTTCCCCACCCCTGCAGCTCTACTGGGATGCCCCGGGCCATCCCGTCTCTCCCAGTTTCTTCCCAGTGCAAGATCCTGCGCTGCAACTCCGAGTACGTGGCTGCCACCCTCAACCTGCGCGGCTCCAACAGGAACGCGGCGTACTGCAACGCCCTCCGCTCCTACTCCCACTGC